AGTTTAGTAGAGAGAGAGAGAGAGAGGTCACTTCAGCATGGAGGATCAAACAGCTAGCCTCCTCCAGCTCTGAAAGAGTTAGATTTCACTCTCAAGTTGTGGCATCATCATTAACTCTGAAAAATGTCACACTCCATTTGTACAAAGAAAATTTCATGAGCAGTCATTGTGAGGACAAAGTTGAAACAGGCTGGATCCTAAAATCTAACTGTTTATTTCACACGGTATCAAAGTCATTCATCTTGTTCCTTAGGAGGCAAATTCACAATGGTAGGGACCTCAAACCACAAACAGATCTATTTTGTTGCACCTTGCTTGAATCAGGATCAGAGTGGGTTGATAAGAAAATGTCACCTTTATTGAGTATAGCCCAATTATGATGATTTTGCTATTTAGTCATTGTTAAGCTGGGAACATCCAAAATCAGCATTTCTCAAACTGTGAGGCTTGAATCTTGTTCAGTTGCTCAGACAAGCCACTGGAAAACGGGGGATAGGATTGGGCCAGAGAAAAGGACTTCTTCCCCCTCCCATTATGACTTGACAAAACTATAGCTCCTAGTATTCAATACTGATCATGTACAACCTAGCAGAAGATCTTTGCTTTGCTGAACCCAAGAAAGACTAAAGTGTCCTCATGTTTAAAACTGGTCCAACACAAAGCATCATTGGTAGTCCCTGGAGAAGATCTCCCACTCCCACCCAATTGGGCCAATGTAGTTTTTTTCCAACAGATAAATGATGGGATTGGTGGATGCAGAATCTACCTCCTGCTGCTTATGAATTAGATGAAAACAAGAATTTGTTTCCGTTTATATTGTCAGTTTTTCCAGGTAAACATACAGTACCAATCCAAAATCAGCCACATATGAAGCACATACAGCACTTGATTAAATCTCTGTGTCCCCAACCAACATGAAATAAGATGTTTTTCACTATTCTCATAAAAAAACTCAAAGCCTTTGCAGCTTCATTCAAGCAAAAGAGAGGCTGTGAATTTTGGGTGTTGGGAGGTGGGGGCAGAAGTGCAAGAATAACAAAACCTTCATTTTGAAGCAATTCAGTTTTAATTACAAAAGGGATTCAAATTTCACAATATTTTAGAAGTCAAAATAAGGGAGAAGCAAGTTTATCAGTCAAGTCAAACCCATATCTTGACTGCTTTTTAGCACAACGAGACCAGGCAATTTTGTATGTTAATTAAAGCAACTGCAGTAGGCAATAGCCACATTTTAACTGACCAAGGGGAAACGATTGCCGAATATTACTCTGTAGTCTGGTGCACAGGCAAGAAGAAGCAAAAGGGTCATCTGAGAAGTGCTAAAATGTAAAACCTCCAACAAGAACAATTCCTTTCTAGGGGCTTAAAACAGAAGCCAGATTTGTGGGGGGGAGGGAGGAGAGGTGCGTTAATTCCTGACCTATATTCATTATCCCAAGTAACGTTTGTCTAGTATTCCATAGATTTTTGTCAGTTGTTTTCTAGATGGCTCTCTACCAGCCTAGCCAAAATGATATACTCTGCATTTTCTACTTGAGGCAAACTGTTCACAAGATGATGTTCGTTTAGATGTTTACAGTGAAGCAAAACCATCAATTTCATTCTTCTCACTCAAGCTGATTGCTTCAAAATGAAGGTTTTGTTATTCCTGCACTGCTGCTGCCCTCACCTCCCAATGCCCAAAATTCACAGCCTTTCTTTTGCTTCAGTGAAGCTGCAAAGGCTTTGTCGTCCTGGTGTAAAACATACATCACTTGCTCATTAAAACTAAGCTTTTGAGGACATGGCTCATTTACTGACCTCTACTAACGGCCTGGGTTTGCGCTCTACTGCAAACCTGAAGTGGCAGAGTTCACAGTAACTGGTATTCGAAGAAGACAGCCAATGCTCCAGGCAGCTGCGATGAATAGTCCCCAGGGTTCCTGTACATTCACATGGAGAGAGCAGGTCTTCCTGACTGCTGCCTTCGTGGCAGATCCTGCACATTGGCCTGTCATTGAAAGGGCTGCCAAACAAGAAAGGGAAGTTGCTGGTCAGTATATTAGGTTGTAAAGCACCTAATTTCTCTCTCTTAGCCCATGTTCCAACATAACAAGAAGGGATGTTCACAGCGTGTATTTATTTATACATTAGCGTACAGCATGATCCCCAGGCTAAAGACTGAAGGCACTTTGATATTCTTGTTCAAAAGTGCTCTAGTTCTGGTCTATACAGTGACAAGCTGGAAGGAAGTCCTTAACAGTTGGAGAAGGGAATATACAGAAAATTTACTTACACTGACAAATGTATCATTTCCCACAATGTAGGGAAAGAAATACACCAGGAAACACTTTGGGGTGGGGGAGGGTGCACTACAGGAGAAATCTCTAAGTGCAGCAGAGTATATTTTAACTCTATCCCAAAGTGAATGCCCATTACAGGGACACTAGTCATGATTAATGCTAAAATTTTTATCATGGATATTTTTAGTAAAAGTCACGGACAGGTCATGGGCAATACAGAAAAATTCACAGAAGCCCCTGACCTGTCCCTGACTTTTACTAAAAATATCCATGATACTGTAGGAAGGGACTGGACAGCTGCAGGGTGGCTGGGAGTTCTGGGGCCCCCACCACCACGGGGGCTCAGAGCTCAAGGGTGTCCCATCCACCAGTGGCGGAGGGGATCTGCAGGGTCCCCCTACCCTCCTCCCCAGCGGCAGGGAGCGCTGTGGGAATCCCCCAGCCCTCCCACAGCAGCTGGGAGCTGCCGGGTACCCCCGCTGCCCATGGCGGCTGAGAGCTTGGGGGCCCTCTGCCTCAGGTGGTGAGGGTATCTTACAGCTTCCTGCAGCTGCGGGAAGCAGCTGGACCCTGCAGCTCCCAGCTGCCAGGGATGAAGTCACTGAGGTCTTTGGAAGTCATGGAAGTCCACAACCTCCATGACAAAATCATAGCCTTAGTCATGATCTGTGCCACTGAACTACAGGATAAGATGCGTGCGTGCACACACACACACACACACTCTAATTTAGCCTGAAACAATAACCCTGTGACACAAACTGACCTCCAGGCAGCACCATGCACTGCCAAGTATACGAGCAGAGTCTCCAAGCCAAGTTTGACTGGACACTAAAGAGATCCAGGATGCTTTGGTCTGGTGAAGGCAGCACCATACATCTGGAGCAATTCCTTATGGCCAGCTAAGGAGCACCATTACTGGGTTCTGAAAGGAACAGTGTGATTCTTCTCAGCCAAAAGAAGGATCACTTTTGATGGGGCACAGATGGGGGAGGGGAAGAGCACCTCTCCTTTACAAAAGCCTTAAGGACTCAGTTCTCCCTTCTACAGACACATGTAACTATCAGTAACACGCATGAAAAATAAATAAGAGCGGAATAAATCCCTGAAATGCTAGAACTGTAATATGCTAGAGGGGTAGATTAAGTATCAGCCTTGAAATGCTTGGACTCCCTGGACCCACAATTTAAAATCCCAGCAGGATTAACATAGCCATTCATCCGGCCAAGGCAGATAAATTGAATAAGTTGCATTTTCATGTGTGTGGATCTTTTGGCTGAGACCTTGAAAACACCAACTCTGTATTGATGCTTTGGGTTCACAGGGCTTTCTTATAAGAATAGTGCCTTTGTCTCTTTGTCACTGACCCAAATTTCCCCTCCTCATTATTGTGCAATGTGTTACTGCTGCCCACTACCCCTGCTCTGGCTGCTTTTCAATGGTGCCCTGTGTATATGGGGCCAGGTTCTCCTTTCACTACACGAGTCTAAAATCCAGTGAAGTGTAAAGGTGGCCTAGGCGAAGGGACAATCTGGCCCACTGTTTATTAAAAAAACAAAACCCAGTGGTGTTTGTTATGACATTACATGCAGATCTGAGCTAGTAAGTTCAGTTTGATAAACTGAAAGGAATAATTGTTTCACTCCAAAAAAACCCCACAGTTTTACATGACACCCCAGCAAGTTAATAACATCTGCCTTTAAACAATGCAGCGGGCTTGATTCTGTGCTCTGTTACACTGATGTAAATCCAGAACTACTCTAAAGTATCAGGGAAATACCCAAAATCTCCTGTGTGAATACTGTGAAACCCTTATGGATTCTCTTAATAAAGTGTTAAGAGAACAAAAAAACCCACCCAGCTTGTGGTCTCAAAGTATATGACTTAAATATATATTTTGCCACATAATCTGTCAGTGTACATCAACAGCATGAAAAGCTGCTATCAATCACATGAGAAATGGCTCCGGCAACAAAGCCTGCATGTGAATCTTCATGAGAGACAGATTCTTTGCTGGCTCAGTGAGTTAGAGCGTGTGGCATCGTTTATGAATGGCAATCTGAACAAAATGTGTTATGGCAGTATTAGCAACAGCACGTGAGGAGGGAGGGAGAGGAACGCTGTATGCAATATTCTGTACCTTAATAGTGACCGTGCGTGTTTGAGATGAAACCCATGTATGAAGCCTCATTGGAATGAGTGTTCTCATCAGTAAGTAATGAGTAGCATTCACAAGTTGTCAGGAGTAACATTCTGAAGTTTCCTTTTACAAATCAGGAGAAATTATTGAAACTTATTCACTTGACCATGTATCAGAGGGGTAGCCGTGTTAGTCTGAATCTGTAAAAAGCAACAGAGGGTCCTGTGGCACCTTTGAGACTAACAGAAGTACTGGGAGCATAAGCTTTTGTGGGTAAGAATCTCACTTCTTCAGATGCAAGATTCTTACCCACGAAAGCTTATGCTCCCAGTACTTCTGTTAGTCTCAAAGGTGCCACAGGACCCTCTGTTGCTTTTCACTTGACCATCTGCATCTTCAGACAGCACTGCCACATTTTTTTGCATGAAGGTATAATGAGAGTTTAATTATAAAAAGTGAGATGGTGGTGGTGATGATAAAATTTATAGTGATGAGTTTAATTATCACAGTAGTAAATCTTACGCGAGCAGCAACACATCTATCTTCTTCTTCTGTGTGTGACTTAAAATAGAAAAGTAAACATGATGGATTTTAGCTTCTTACTCAATTGTCATAGAAACAGGTATGACTGAGCCGGTATGTGTGTTTGGCTTTTTTATATAGATTTCTTGTCTGACACAGACTTGAATACTGTAATTCTAGCCCCTTTCTACACTTCCGAGCTAAAACAGTTTAATGATCAATTACATGTTTGTTTTTTATTTGGTACTACTGTACCTCTGTGTGGCAAGAGTCCTTACTACTGTTGACAGAAGCTGCCCGTCCTTGGCTGAAACTTGCATGACATACTGCGGCTGTCCATTCACAAGACTGCTACAATCCTCCACCGTCTTTACTAGGGGAGCAGCTGAGCTGGTGCAGTCTGGTAAGACTTCAGGCAGGTGACTGCAGCGGCTGGTTGTCATGGTAATAGACAGCAATTACTTTGCTAATGGTTTTCACATTCATACAGTATTTCCATCTAGGAACAGATCAGAAAACAATTTATTAAAGCAGGGCTGTTAACAGTGAATGCAAAATTACAGGCAACCAACATCCCATTAGTTAAAATGAAATAGGGTTGGAGTAGCACCTTATCTTCTTACAAATTTTACACACACACAAGAACCCGTGACATTTAATAACAATGCAGCAGGCACATCTGTGTGTGTAACTGTCGTATTGATCTCTATGAAATGAGAGGTGTGGGGTTTTGTTTGTTTGTTTGTTTGTTTGTTTTTTTTAAAGAAAAAAAAACCCCAAACCTATTTACCTCTTGGTATTGAAAGAAAGCTTAAAATATTACTTATAGTTGAAAAATAACTTGTGCAATGTGCATATCTAGGAATCAGCTGCACGTACAGGGTTTCCTTTGTTTTTCTCTGATTTTTAAAGTGATGTGGTGATAAATGAAAAGATTGGAACCTTTTGTCTGTCTGTCTCTTTTGCCTGTGTTGCAAATGAATGTATTAGGTTCATTTTAACTTGACACGTGCCTCTGACCACAAACTGACAAGGTTACATCTTGAAAAAGAAAGTAGTTGATAATCTACTCTGTGAAATCCCTCTGTGAAAATAATCCATTATTGCTAAGCGCATTACTTCACCAACACAGCAGAATAGAGAAACAACAAATACCAAGCATTTGTAACACAAACCCACTTATTGATAGTCTGCATGCCGTAATAATTCATGCCACAAGGAGAGGTAAAAATCATAGCATGCATATGGCTCTCTCATACGTTTGGCTCATTTTCCCATCACTTAGAATATATTTTATATGCTGTCCTGGATAGTGGTAATTGCAAAGCAAAGGTTACACTAGCAATAAGGGAAGAAGACAGAGCCTTTGGACACGCATTCTTTGCAGCTTCACATAATGATGGTCATTATGTCCAGGTATGATTTTTAAGGCAAGGCAGTGTGAGTCAATGTATAGCATGTGGGGCACTGTGCCTGGAAACTTGGGCCCTGATCCTTTTTGGAAGTTAGGTGCCTAAATACCTCGAGGCTCTGGGCTTAACTTCTCTAGACCTTAGTTTCTCCATCTATAAAATGTGAATGATCCCCATCTTCCTTTGTAATATGCCTTGAGATCCATGGATGTAAAATACCACTTTAAGTGCTATGAACGATTATTATTCTTTGTGCAAATTGGAGCCAGACCTATATTGTGCCTAAGTGTTTCTGTCTGTGCACAACATTTGGTCCATTTAAAAACCCAAAACTTAATTCATGTTTCAGCCATCATTATTTGTATAGTACTGCATGCTAGGAATCAAACCGTGCATTTAAATATTAATGATTACTTCTTTTAAGAGCCCTTTAGAAAGGTGTGTTTAAGGAATGAATTAATGTAACTGGATCTCGTTGGATTTGAACAGACACTAGAATGTCACTGTTGAATTTTTGAAGTTTCCTGACTGGACCTCTTTGGCAGTAAGACTTTGGGAGATGTGATGGTGATGCCATGTCATTTGTACAATGCAAGCTTCAGAATGGATGCAGGCCTTCTTAGACAGGTTTCTAAGAATAGGAAAGAATGCCTGGGAACCTGTGTGTTTTAATGGGATCATTTTCAGCTACTTTTCAAACTCTATACCCCAGAGAGAAGTGGATGCTGATGAGCCAGCTTACAGTAGTTTCAATGTTCAGAGAACAGGGAAAAGAAAGAAATCACATTCTGACCCTCATTTACAATGAAAATGAAGCAAATGACTAATTTCAAAACCATTAGCACATAAAAGATGAAGACTTCTTATGAGAATAGGACCCACAGGATTTCCAAGGAGGGTGTGCAGGGACATGATTACCAGTAACACTTTTGTTTTAAAATACATGCTGAGACTGTTCAACAAGAATATGCAGCAGCAGAGTAGCTGCTTCATTAAACTTAAATAGCCTAGACAGTACTGTGCTTACAGACCCATGCCTGAGAATTATATATTTCCTTTCTGGTTGCTTCAATGACCTCATTATGTACAACAGCAAATTTATTGTTCCATATAAAATGACCATCCAAGCCTTTTCAAACACATTCATCAGCCATTTAATAAGTTTTTTAAGAGCATTTTCTGAAACACCAGATGATGCAACTAACTGCAGACTATTAAAGCACACAGAACTCTTAGTTGTAGCCATCTCCCATCTGTGATGTTAATTCAAATCCTTGTGCACAGCACTGCCTTGACATTCCAGGCTAGTGGAGCAATCTTGCCCTATTCTTTTGTCTAACTTAATAATTTTCACTTTTCTAATGGAAAAAAACATTTTAACAAAATCGATAATGATATTAATTCAGGCCTTGAGAATAACTCTTTTTTTTAAAAAAAAAAATTTGTTTCAATTCTAGCATAGATCTAAAATGTAATTAACTTGATTCCAAACCCGGTACCCCTGGGAATGTATTTCATGCAAACTGCATCCCACGGTATATGCTTGGAATTAATACAATTACAAGCTTAAATAATAAGCATATATTGTACTCTGAGGTGAAGACCAAGATTAATTGTCCTGAGAGGTAAATGCTGACTAAGGCAAAGCTGAAGTCGATGTTGATTCTGAAGAACAATAAATCTTTATAGCCAATAAAACCCCAAATTCATTCGGAATGTTTTCCATCCAAAATATGTGGAAATCTCTCCATTGTGGCTATCAATATCTTAGCAGAAGGGGAGAGATTAAGAGCAAAGGCAAGGAAGAAAATGTCTTTCCATCTGGCATTTAATGAGAGATATAATACTGAGGAGGTAGGAGGACTATTTCAGATGCCAGGAGTTGCAGAGAAAGGCAGCGCTAATACAAAGTGACAAGACCATATGAAAAGATCAAGATGAACAGAAAAGGTACTAGTGAGATAAACTTGCCCCAAACTTTGAAATTGGAAACCTCAGGAGGGCAGTCCTAGGGTACGTCTATACTTACCTCCCCGGCGGTAAGCAATCCATCTTCTGGGATCGATTTATCGCGTCTTGTCTAGACGCGATAAATCGATCCCGGAAGTGCTCGTCGTCAACGCCGGTACTCCTGCTCAGCGAGAGGAGTACGTGGAGTCGATGGGGGAGCCTGCCTGCCGCGTGTGGACCTGCGGTAAGTTCGAACTAAGATAGTTCGACTTCAGCTACGTGAATAACGTAGCTGAAGTTGCATATCTTAGTTCGAAGTGGGGGGATAGTGTGGACCAGCCCCTAGACTCGATCCTGTTTCTAATGAGAGCTGGCATTGAGTATGTGGTAACAAGTGTATATTTACTGACCCACTTGAGAAAATGTTTATAATCTGTCATTTCCTCTCTCTGCCTTGATTACTGCAACCTCCTCGTCTGGACTTGGATTCCCACCTTGCCCTTCTCCTATCTAACCAAAATTCTATTGTACTGTTCAAACCATGAATCTCCCTATTCTCCTAGTGCCCAGTGACTACCATGTGCCTGCTGAATGATGGTAGAACTTTGCACTTACATGTAACATTTTTTTCTGAGAAACTTGAAGCACCTAGCAACAAATAATATAGTACATCTCAATACACCTCTGTGAGGCAGAGAAGTAGAGAGTGGAACTGAGGCCCAAAAAGTGTTTAAGTAAATTGCACAAGGTTATTCTGGAAGTCTGTGGCAGAGCCAGGACCATATTTCCGGAATCCTAGTCTTCTGCTTTAGCCATAAGGCCATATCCTTCTCCCCATAATGACTTATTGAAAATTACAAGATGCTATTCCAGCAAAGGGCAGCCCTAGCTTATACACACTCTCTTCCTTCCTGATCTGCTTGCTCCCACCCAATGTGGTACAATACAGCTCACTGGTGGTATTATTTCTCCCCCACCCCCTTTGTTTTAAATTATTATTCCAAGCCCCTTTCTGTGGGCTTTTTCAAACACAAAAGCAGACAATATACAGATCAGGAAGCCTGTCTCTCTTTCTCTCCCCCCTCCCCCCCCCTCCAACAAGGGGGCAAAAGTGCCACCAAATGTTGGCAATCCACAGTATGAAACAAAATTATAGGCCTTTGTTTCTTAGCTACACCAACAGCTGAGTATTCCTAACAACAAACAGTTACTTAAATAGCTTTTCTTTATAGAAGGATTTTCCTCCTGTAAGAGACTTGTAATTCTGGGATTAAGAGAAACTACAGGACTCCAGAAATACCTGTATGCAAGGCACCCGGACTCTTATTAAGTTATATTCAAACATATGGAGATGTCAAAAACCAGCCTCAAAAGCCAGGGAAGGAATTTCAACAGCTCACCTGAATTTACAATGGGCACATACATTGAATCCTCAGTGCACTTTTGACTATTGTGCATAAATTGAATTCATTTCTTAAACCCATAAAGCACCATCATGCTGATGAATTCAATTACAATAGTGGATTTTCAGTTTTAGCCACGAGGGAATCTCTTCAGAGCTTCAGTAGAAACCCTGAGTGGTTTGGAATGGATTCACATGAGACAAAAAAGCTCTTATACAGTAAGGCAGTAGGAGGCAAGTTATACAAATATTGAAGTGGAGCTCTTGTGTAAACTGCCCATTTGTGCTTCTTCAGCACCCTTATTAAAAACAGCACATAATGCATCTGTTGTATTCATATGCTTGGAAACCCATTCTCTTTTCCCATTCTACATTCCCAGGAGCCTCTGATTCGTTTCAAGAAATGCAACTCAAACTTATATCAATCAGCTTTGGGACTTTAGAACCAAGGGGGGGGGGGAACACACACTAACTTGTTAGCAGGAGAAGGTTTCCCTAAGGAGTGTTATAGTCATGGAAAAACAAAAAACAAATCTGGGGGGGGGGGGGCGCTTTGGTTCCTATTAATTTATTTTTACATTCCTTAAGAAAATGTATCTGTCTCTCCAGAATCTTTCCCCACAGTTTAACATAACTTAAAACAATGAGCAACAGGTAATCATTAAGCATCAAGGAGAAATGTCAAGCTAGTGATGTTCAAGGCCAAACGGGAAACCAAGGCACATATTGCTCTTACCAATCCTTACATGACTTGATAAGGTCATGTTTTCTAAAGACCTCAGTGGAGCCCCTCAATTTGCCTGGCAAATTTTGCTGGTGAAGATTAATCCATTTTGCCCAGAAGTCTTTATGAAAATA